TTAGCCTCAGAGCATTTGAGATGGTATTTAGGGCTGTGGCATGCTCCTCCTACAGGATGTGGGAGCTTAGGGAGACTTCCATTGTCCCTGATGACTACACCTGTGGGAAGTGCACCCAGTTGCAGCTCCTGGGAAACAGTGTTAGGGAGCTGGAGCTGGATGCACTCAGGATCATCCGAAATGCTGGACGCATCATAGATAGGAGTTTTAGTGAAGTGGTCACGCCTAAGGTGCTGGCAGTGAGTAGCTGGGTGACCACCAGGAAAGGCAAAGGGAATAGGCAGAGAGTGCAGGAATCCCCTGTAGCCATTCCCCTTGAAACAAGTATACGTTTTGGATACTGTTGGGAGGGATGACTGTTCAGGGGAAAGCAGCAGTAGCCAGGTTGGTGGCACTTCGACTGGCTCTGGGGCACAATGGGAAAGGGTAAAGGTAAACAGGACCTTAATGATTGGAGACTCGATAATTAGGGGGACAGACAGGAGATTGTGTGGCTGCAAACAGGAATCCAGGATGGTGTGTTGCTTCCTGGGTTCCAGGGTCCAGAATGCCTCAGAGCAGCTGTAGAAGGTTCTCAAGGGGGAGGGTGAGCACCCAGAAGTCATTGTGCACTTTGGCGCAAATGACATATGTAGAAATAGGGATGAGGTCCTGCTGAGTGATTATAGAGAGCTGGGATAAAATGTTAAAAAATCAGGACCTCAACAGCAGTAATCTCCAGATTGCTTCCAGTGCCATGTGCTAATGAAGGTAAGAACAGAGGGTTTGGCAGATGAATGTGTGGCTAAAGAATTGGTGCAGGGGGCAGGGATTCTGATCATCAGGATCTTATCTGAGGCAGAGAAACCTGGCGGGCAGATTTGCTAGTGCTGCAGGGGAGGGTTTAAACTAGATTGGTAAGGAGGTGGGATCCTCAACTGCAGGGAGGCAAATGTGAGGCTGGAAGGAGATACAGTAATCAGAAATAGCAAATTGAAGAGACAGGTCAGGCTGGAACATGACAAAGAGCGAGGAATGCCTGTTGGATTAAATTGTATCTATTTCAATGCAAGAGGGCTGACAGGTAAGGCCAATGAGCGTGTGGTTAGATACGTGGGACTGGGATATTTCAGCCATTACAGAAACAGGGCTAAGGGAGGGACAGGACTAGCAGATTAATGTGCTAGGGTACAGGTGCCTTAGGCAGGATAGAGGTGGAGGAAAGAAGGGAGGCGGAGTTGCATTTTTGATTAAAGGGAGTATCACAGCAGTATTCAGAGATGAAATAACTGAGGGATCATCCAGTGAGGCTTTGTGGGTAGACCAAGAAATAAGAAGGGGACGGTGATGTTATTGGGTTGTACGATAGGCCTCCAAATAGTCAATGGGAATTAGAGGAACAAATATGCAGGGATACTGGGGAAACTTGCAGGAGCAATTGTGTTGTCATAGTGGGGGATTTTAATTTTCCTAAGATAGACTGGGACTGCCATAGTATTAACGGTTTAGGTAGGGTAGAATTTGTTAAATACATTGAGGAAAGTTTCCTCAGCTAGTATATAGAGGGACCTACCTGGGAAGGGGCAAAACATGACCTACTCTTGGGAAATAGGGCAGGTCAGGTGACTGAGGTGATAGTGGGGGAGCACTTTGGGACTAGTGAACATAGTTCCATTAATTTCAAAATAGTTATGGAGAAGGACAGAACTAGTCCACAGGTTCAAGTTCTAAATTGGGACAAGGCAAATTTTGATGGAGTTAGACTGGAGCTTGCAGGGTTGATTGGAGTAGTTTGCAGGCAAAGGGACCCCTGGCAAGTGGGAGGCCTTAAAAAATATGATAGCTAAAGTTCAAGGTCTATATGTTCCTGTGAGGGTGAAGGGCAAGGTTGGCAGGAGTAGGGAACCCTGGATGACAAGAGATATTGAGGCTTTGACGAGAAAAAGGGAGGAGGCATGGCTTAGGTACTGGCAGCTGGGATCAAGGGAATTCCTGCAGGTATATAGGGAATATAGGAGTTTACTGAAGAAGGAAATCAGGAGGGTGAAAAGGGAGCACAGGATTGCTTTGGCTGAGAAGATTAGGGTGAATCCAAAGAGATTCTTTAAGTATGTTAAAGGAAAAAGAATAACTAGAAACAGAATAGGTCCCTTCAAAGACCAAAGTGGACACATATGTGTGGAATTCCAGGAGATGGGCGAGGTCCTCAATGAATATTTTTCCTCAATGTTTACTGGGGGAAAGGCATGAACACTTGGGAACTTGGGGAAGTTAGTGGAGATATCTTGGGGACAGTCTATATCACAGTAGAGGAGGTGTTGGAAGCATTAGAATTTATAACGGTAGATAAATCTCCTGGTTCTGACCAGATATATCCAAGAACACTGCAAGAGGCTAGAGAATAAATTGTGGGGGCCCTGGCTGACATATTTGTAACATTGTTAGCTATGGGTGAGGTCCCGGAAGACTGGAGGGTAGCAAATGTCGTGCCCTTATTCAAGAATGGCTGAAAAGAAAAACCTGGCAATTATAGACCAGTAAGCCTAACATCTGTGGTAGGTAAGTTACTTGAGAATATTCTGAGGGATAAGATATACGTGCATTTGGAAAGACAGGGTTTAATTAGAAGTAGTCAGCATGGCTTTGTGCATGGGAGATCATGCCTCACAAATTTGTTACGAGTTCTTTGATGAAGTGACCAGGAATGTTGATGAGGGCAGGGCGATAGACATAGTCTATATGGATTTCAATAAGACCTTTGATAAGGTTCCACATGGTAGGCTGCTCTGGAAGGTTAAATCGCATGGAATCCAGGGAGAGCTGACAGATTGGATACACAATTGGGTTCATGGTAGGAAGATGCTTGTCAGACTGGAGGCCTGTTATTAGCGGTGTGCCTCAGGGGTCAGTGCTGGGCCTATTGTTGTTTGTCATCTATATCAATGATTTGGATGAGAATGTACAAGGCATGGTAAGTGAGTTTGTGGATGACACTAAAATAGGCAGTATCATGGACAGTGAGGAAGGTTATTAGAAATTGCAGCAGGATCTTGATCAGTTGGGAAAGTGGACCGAGAAATGACAAATGGAGTTTAATATCGATAAATGTGAGGTGTTGCATTTTGGAAAGTCAAATCAAGGTAGGAGTTTCATGGTGAATGGTAGGGCCTTAAGGAATGTCGTGGAACAGAAGGACTTTGGATTTCATGTGCACGGTTCTCTGAAAGTGGAGTCACTGGTAGACAGGGCAGCGAAGAAGGCTTTTGGCATGCTGGCCTTCATCAGTCAGGGCATTGAGTATAGTAGTTGGGAAGTTATGTTGCAATTGTACAGGACATTGGTGAGTCTGCACTTGGAGTATTGTGTTCAGCTTTGGTCACCTTGCTATAAGACATTATCAAATTGGAAAAACTGCAGAGGAGAATTACAAGGATGTTGCCAGGACTCAAGGGACTGAGTTATTGGAAGAGGTTGGACAAGCTATTTTTTTCAGAGCACAGGAGACTGAGGGGGGATCTTACAGATATGTATAAGATCATGAGAGGCATGGACAGGGTGAATGTTCTCAGTCTTTTTCCCAGGGTTGGGGAATTGAGGACATGAGTTTATGGTAAAAGAGGAAAGAATACATGGGAAACTGAGGGGTAACTTTTTTTACACAGTGGGTGGTACACATGTGAAATTAGCTGCAAGTGATAGTGGTTGAGTCGGGTATATTAACAACATTTAAAAGGCATTTGGATGAATACACGGATAGGAAAGGTTTAGATGGGATTGGGCTAAGTGCAGGGAAATGGGGTTAGCATGGATGGACATTTTGGTCGGCATGGACCAATTTGTGCCAAAGGGCCTGTCTCCATGCTGTAGACCTTTATGACTTCACTCAGGCAGCTATGTTCTAATCGAAAAATGTTAAGCCAATCTAGTTGAATCTTTTTCAACTACTTTTGCCTCTGGTCTCAAGTCTTTCACTACAATGAGTGGTAACTGAACCAGTTGCTTCTCCTAACAGACCGGAACTGAAGTTATACCTTTCATCTGTAGGGACTCATGGTTTAGGTTTTCAGCCAGGCCGAGGTCTTGTGCAAACTTAAGGGTTGGAGTCCGGAGTGAATTTTGTTAAAGACTGGTTCTACAATCACTGATACAACCACGCAGTTATTGACTTCCATTAGAACCGGGTCACCATTAACCAGACGTTTATTTTTATTGGTTCTGGTTTGGATGTTGCTAAGCAATTTAATTCTTAATTTAACAGCTGTTGGCAGACTTTCCTGGGTGCACTCTCCTGGGTACCGACCTATGAGTTCCCTTACTCAATGTAGGCCTAGTGGGACTCTTGCTGTCACACGTTGCATACCAGCAGCAACTACAATGGCTCACCAGCCGGGATTCTGAAAAAAATTACATATTTGGTGAATGCTTGGCTTTGATGTGGGGTTTTGCCATGGCCTGACTTAGAGTCCATTTGTTCAGGATATGTCTGGAGTGGGCTGGTGAAATCTGAAGCAGAACTCTTGTTTCTGCATAGCGTGGGCTGGTGTAGCCTGGAGTGGGCCTCTGGCAGTGGCAGGGTGAGGGCTGGTGTAGCCCAGACCGGGACTCTGGTGGCAGCATCGTGTGGGCTGGTGAAGCCTGGAGTAGGCCACTTGTTTCTGCATGGAGTGGGCCACTGGTGGCTGCATGGAGTGGGCTGGGGAGCCGGGAGCTGAACTCTGGTGTCAGCATGGAGTGGGCTGGTGTAGCCTGGAGTGGGCCTCTGGCGATGGCATGGCGTGGGATGGTGAAGCCTGAAGCAGTACTGTAGCAGCAGAGAAGGAAGCATTGGACTCTCTTTAAGTTATTTGGCTTTATTTTTTATTTTATTTTAAGATTATGTGAAAGGCGCCTATGCATGGCAATAGTACATAGTTTTCACTGTATTTTATATTGAATACATGTGACAATAAATTAATCAATTCAATTTGAATGAGGCTATGCAATTCCCTTTACTCAAGTGGTGTTCCCCAAGCTCAGTCAGCCTGGCAAGGGTGTCCACTTCTGTCAGAATACCCTGCAACTCGTAAGCTTCACTTGCCACATTTTCTATTGATAAAGCCTGTTGTAGTGCCTACTTGAAGTCCAGTTGGGTTTCAGCTAATAGGTAGTTTTGCATGGTTACATCATTAATCCCACAAATGATCTCTCAGCATTTCACTTAGGTTTAAACCAAAATTACGTGCCTCTTTCAGTTGTCTTAACCTCATCAAAAATCCACATATGGATTCTCCTGGTTCTTGAACTGTCGAATAAACCTAACAGCATCTCATCATTACAGGAGACTTGGGGTCATAATATTCCATAACTAAATGCATTACCTCTTGAAACATTCGAGCATCTGGTGCCTCAGAGAAAGTTTAGTCCCAATATCTGAAAAAGCTGCGGGTCTACAAGCTGTCAGGAGAATTACTCATTGTTTTTTGTCTGCCCCAAAAGCATTTGCCTGGAAAAAGACTGCATTCTTTCCACATACTGTATTCAATCTTCAACGGCAGGATCGAAGAAGTCAAACTTCCCATATACCTGCATGATGCCAGAAATGCTTACCTCAACTCAAAGACGACTGTTGCGAGAGAGTCTCTTCAGGGGCATGTTTCTCTCTCATCTTCATTGAAATAACTCCACAAAAGCCAGTATCCCGTCACCAAGTCACCCTTTATTTCCACGTGCATAGTACATGATACAGACCCAGCTAGCTGAGAGCTGGCTCCCAGTGAGCAGAACCCTGACACTCCTGTCTATATCTGTCAGCCAGAACTCCCTGATTGGACCAGGTTAAAAGTCCCAATTAGGGAACTCATATTCTATGAGGTATTTTGCTTTTGACTCTCAGATATTCTGGAATACTGCGAACAGCTTTGGGCCCCTTATCTAAGGAAAGATATGGTAGCATTGGAAACAATCCAAGGAAGATTCACGAGGCTGCTGAGTTTTTCCAGCAACTTTGTTTTTGTTCAATAGGCTGATCCTGGGTATGGAGGTGCTGTTTTATGTGAAGAGGTTGAGTAGGTTGGGCCTCATTGGAGTTTGGAAGAATGATAGGAGACCTTATTGAAACAGATAAGCTTCTTAGGGGTCTTGAGGAGATGCCGAGATGTTGTCTCCCCTTTATGACAGTCTAGAGCTAAAGGGCATAATCTCAAAGTAACAGGTTACACATTCAAGAAGAGATGAGGAGAAATTTCTTCTGAGGGTAGTGAATCTATGAATTTCTTTACCACAGGGTCATCACATATATTCAATGGTGAAATAGACAGATTTTTAATCAGGAAGGGAATTAAGAGAGATGGGGAAAAGGTAGGAGAGTGGAGTTGATGATTATCATGTCAATCGTGATCTCGTTGAATAGCAGAACTGATGTGATGGACTGAATAGCCTAAATCTGCTCCTATGTCTTACGGTCTTACAGTCATCTGGCTGCTATCATGCACTCTAATTGGTGACCGATAAACTTTTCACTATACTCATTGAGTATATGTGACTATAAAGGCTATTCTAAATGTTCAGCTGAGATAAACAGGCTAATTTACTGCTACCTATAACAATCCATCATCAACCATCCAGAGCAAAAATTCTACCAAAATGCACAAATCTTCTCAAATGTTAATTTATCCAACTGCAGGATTGAGTTACTCCTTTTTTCTTGATGAATCATTTCACTGGATGAAGTGATAACAAACTATAATGGATGAAGTGAGGATCCTGTCTGGGTATGAATGTATATCATCACCACAGCATTATAATGGACAACCGGGTGACTAGCACAAATTTTAGGATTAGGATTTCAATAAGCAATGATTTTACTGCTGTCTGAAGTATCCTTTAAAACTTGTTAATCAGCTACAGCTTAGATTTTCTGCTACCACTTTGTTTTTGGCAGTGAACCCCTTTTATTGTTTCACTTGAATCACTTTTCCACAGAAACCTCAATCCTCCATGTTCTGATGTAGAGGACGTTTGAAATGTTTCCAAGTCACTATGACAATGCGTGCTACAAAGGCAGTGCAGGCAACGGCTAACAGTATAGCTGGGAATAAAAGAAGACCAGTGTTAATGTGTCACATTTCCATTATACTAGGAATAGCATGCAGACTGAGGAGAACATGATCACAGCACAAAAGCATTTATTGTTTTATTTTGATCATTATTCATATGACCTCTGGAGACAGGCCGGGGAGATAATCACACAGGAGGTAATCAGTAATCCAGAGGCCTAGGCTAATGCTTTCAGGAAACTGGTTTGAATTCCACCCCACCACAACAGCTGATGGAAATATAACTTTGGTTAATAAATCTGGAGCAAAACTAATATGAACAAGGAACACAGTAGGCCACTCAGTCCTTCATGCCTGCTCCATCATTCAATAAGATTGTGGCTGACCTAATTTCAACCTCAGCTCTAAATTTCTGCATATCTCCCATAATCTTTCATCCAGAAATCTCAGTGATGGCGACCACAAAATAATATCAATTGTTATAAAAAGCCTTTAACCTTAAAAGATTAACCTTACAAAAGACCCTGAACTACCTGCTGCCTGCCACTTCAATGCACCACCCTGCTCCCTGGCCAACATCTCTGTCTCCGGCTTGCTACAGTGTTCCAGTGAAGCCTAATGCAAGCTGGAGGAACAACACCTCATTTTCCGCTTGGGAACCCTACAGCCCTCCGCACTCAATACTGAGTTCAATAATTTTAGGGCCTAAACTCTCCCATGTCCCAGACCCCCACCCCACACACCAGGCCTTGCTACCACATAGCCTGCCACTACACACCCCCTGTTGTTAGTCACTAACA